AGTTTGAGTTGTACTGTTTAGTCACCAACGGATGTCGACTTATTAATATTTGCAGTTATTTCGGATTAGTTTGATGAATGAAAGTTTTGTACTATTTTTTTGCATATCCGAGTTCTCTACAAAGCAAGTTTCGCTGTACAGGACTCAGCACACTTTGACTGCTCGTTACTGGCTACCGCACTCACTACGACCCCCCCTCTCCTGGCGGCCAAATACGACCCCCCTGTTGGGGATTCCCCAACCAACGATGTGCCCTGGTGCCCTGCCATTGCTGTCGAGCGCAATATATAGTACAAATGAAACAGGAAAAACCGCGAAAAGTCGATAACCGGAGACAAAATTTTCCAACCGCAAATTCCTCTCAGAAGGCGAATACGATTCCCCTTCCTCTGCCAACAACGAACGAGTACGACCCCTCCCCTAAAGCATCCATGAAACAAGAAAAATCAACTATCAAAATTTTTTTCTTAGATCAAATCCGACCTCCTCCCCTCCCACAAATACGTCCTCCTCCCCTGCTGAGGAAAAAAAGAACTGGTCATTAGTATCGATAGCTACTGTAGCATTCTTTACTTGCTGTGATCGAACCCTTGGGAACCAAGCCTGATGGGTACGACAAAACTGAAATATTGCTTGTCAACTCACCTTTTGCTGTAGACGACGGCATGAAATTAAAAGTATAATTTTTCTCCTGATGTCCGTATTTAATATCAGTGTCATCCAGGCGTTGACGTAAGAGAAGAAGCAGCTCAGCAATGGAAATATTGTCCTCACTGCTATCGTGACTCCCTCCTACAAAGTTTTTTTAACTAGTAAAGGTTGTTATGTTATCCCGAGACGCATGTTATAAATCTGGTCTAAAATTACTACATGACTTGATTTATGTAACATTATGCGCAACTGGCGAGATTAACATGCACACGTGGTTGAAACTATTGGGCGCGCGCAAAATATTTATGCTCCAGAACGCTTTTCTGATGAGCTTGGAATCACCACTAGAGGAATCAAACTGTAGCAAAGATTCTCAAATGTCACCCCTGTTTTCTGCGGATGCTGGGGGGAGGGGGGGGGGGTAGCGGGGTGCTGCGTTTAGCGCAGCATCAGACTGTTTTTCACCGAATTTTCTGCCAGCTTCAACTTTGGTGTAGAACAGACCGGCGCAAGGATAAACGACCTCTCCCCCCGCGACACGCCCCAGCATCCGCAGCGAACACGATTGTATTTCCCTTAGCTTTGACACAGGACTCCAAACGCGAGCTGACGGTATTCGAAGTGGAGATTTTGTGGCACTATTCACTCTTTACTGCCCCAACCATCCAAAATGAGCCAGTTTTTGACCGACTTTTTTCTCCGTGAACGATTTGGCTCAAATGTTATCACTTGGGGTTCGTGCGAGCGGGTGTGATATTCATGTTCAGGAGAAGGCTACCCCAGGAGACAAGTTTTCAGCCAATTCTGCCAACGCAGAAAAAAGTTGGTCAGAAACCGGCCTGATTTTGGAAGATTGGGGCAGTAAAGGGTAAATAGTGCCGATTTTGTTACTCCACGGGTTCTACGGAGGAGCAAAAAACTGAATGGGCCTGGACTGCGGCTATCTTATAAGCACTGTTTTTTTTTCACAAAAAGACGTTTTCCTTTTGGCTTTTGGCTGCTACTGCATGGCCCACTGACAACATGAAGGTGCTCTCTGCAACGTCACAATCAGTCGGGACAGTCTCAAGAGCCGTAATCGGGCCTCTCCTGACAACGCCCTGACTGATTGCGGCGTTATCAACGATCCACTGCTGATTCCGAATCGCGACACCATCAAACTATCAGAGTATTTTCCGGTATTTCCGTATTTCCTCGCTAGATGGCCTAATAGATATCTACAGAGATACCGCAGCATTGCCAAGTTGAGTAGATTAGGTCCCGAACACTGGGCACGTGACCCCGCTTACAATGCCATCTACACCGAAACTAGAAGTTCTGGAGCTACAACCCTTTCCACGAAGTACATTCGCCACCACATCACCAGAATTTCGGCCGAATTTCTGTCATCTTTTTTGAAGTTCTCACATATTTGACTTACATTCGTATAAAGTGAAAATACCAGTTGTACAATATTGAAGACGAAAAAGAGCATGAAACCAATGAATAGTCCTGACATCTGTATATAAAGGCGACCTTCTCGTTTAACAGCACTAAAAACATCAATGAAAGGAAAGTGGTAAGGCACGAGAAACAGTAACTGACCTGCTAGTACTGTATCTATTCTGGATCAGGAATTTCAGCATAGCACCATAACAGTAACTACAAATAATAAAAGTCGTGGAAACGAAAAAACAGGCCATCGAACAGGCCATCTGAAGAAAACGTACAATGAAGTCGCTAAAGTAGGATTCTAGTCTGTGTATAGAAACGCTCCACACGGACGCCTACTGCGCACTTGTGGGCGTGCAGGTTTTGTGAAAGCGAACGACAGATCATTTTAAAAGGCATAAGGTACAACAATTTGTACTTGGTCGGAACTATCCCGGAAATGCTATATAGTCGGGCAAGTGGGAAAAACCGAAGTGTAAAGCATAAACTTCAAAGAATGGCCTTCGCTCTTAACTTACCCAAAGGAGCAATTTTCGACGAGTTCCCATAGGCATCTTGCAATCACGCGCTGCGGGTAGATACGGCTGTTTGACTCATATATCTATGAAAAACCGTGACCGCTTCATAATAATTCCCTTCGCTTCATATTTTACTTCGCAAATGAAGCAATACGAGCGTCAGACACGGTCGTCCATTCATGGGCAGATGGGCGTGGTGGTCGTCCGGGTCGGTGTGTTGCATCATGATAGGGCGCTATAAGGGCACTTTCCTTGGAACAAAGGGCTACGCAGTCCTAATCAAGGCACGGTATTCTTTCCTGTTTGGTGCATTACACCTAGTCATATTATCGTGCCCGCTGCCTCCAAGCTGGAAAGACTACCAGGTCTCTGAAAAACGATTGGGCGCTGTTCGGTTTAGTAGGGGCATTTGGTCCTTTCTGCGGTTCCGTTTGCTCCCTTGAACTACTTGTTCCAACTTGATGAGACCTGTCAAGTGTGATGCTTCTGCATTCAAATAGCTTCACAGAGATTCACGGTTCTTTATAGGAGGCATCGACAGTGATCGACGGGAACCAACAAAATACCCCCCCCCCAAGCCGAAGTGGGCAGTAGACTGCGACGAAATTTCAGTTCGCAAATAAACTGTTTTATCTGAAAACTTTGGGGTATAATAACGCCAACAGAGCAAACTAACATGTCAAAGTCACAACAAGAATGAAGTTGCGGAATAGTTGACTTACAGTTATATGCTCCTTTGGGGCGATTAGTTCGAGATTCTCTTTGGTTTTGAAGGTGGCAGTTCCGATGATAAGGAGAGGAATGGAGTAGAGTGTTGGAATTGTCCAGTGCAATATTGGAAGTACCCATCTATGGGAGACGTTGATGACCTGATTTCAAATTACCGATGATTCGAATTTTATTAGAGGCGGTAGGCACGATGGCTGGGGGTGGACGGTGGCTGCCAACGTCATTGGTGGAAGAGCTAAATGGGGTGTGACGCCTTCTCGTCGCAGCCCTTCCACCAATGACGTCGGCAGTGCACCCCCCCCCCCCAACCATCGCATCTGCTGCTTTGAGGCAGTAAATAAGCTTAACAATTATCCTTAAAACGACTACCTGCTCGATAAGACGACCATTCTTGCACATAGAAATATATCGTTGAAAGGAGATGAGCAATACGCCAAAACATCGTAGAAATACTGATATATAGAGCTGATTAAAGGTCCAGGTGGCTACGTAATAATCTTTATAATTCCAATAAAAACTGTTGAATAACTGTGATGCACGTAGAACCCCAAAGAACATATAGTTTCCCATAACAAAAATGTCTAGTATACCCTATAAAGGTTTTATTATTCTCTTGGAATACCTACAATTCCATTTTTATTGGAAAACAAAAGAATTTGAAAGCTGCAGTACGAGTTTTGGGATGTGGTTTAGGAGACTCGAGTTGCGGCGTCGCGCGCGAACCAGCACCCCTAAGTAGTTGACTAAAAAATCAAGGAGGTCGAGGCCGTTTACGTTCCATACCTTATTGTAGCCTTTGTTCCAAGGTCCGAAGCGATCGGCTTGGGAAGGACATTTTACTGGTTCCCATCACTTCTGATGCTTACTGTGAAGATCTGTACATTCTTGTAAAGCTGCAAATGCAGGAGATTTGTTGTCCTTGACAAGTGTCCACAGGTCTCACTAAGGTAAGGCTTGTAAGTCAGCAGGCACTAGCAGAAGAATTAGCGAAGCTGCAAAATGTCCCTCCCAAGCCGAAGAGCGCCAAAAACTTAACAATATATCGCTTACTTGAGTTGAATAACTGACAATCGATAAATTCTCTCAGCTTTCGCCCTGACCAGTAGTTCTAATCATAAAACGGCACTGAGCAACTCTCGAAAAACTAGAAAAAGGATCCTCGAATTCGTCTGTTTTTTTCAGATAAGGCCGTGAAGTAAGGAGCATGGGACGTAAGCTGTCACGACCCCCATTCACTAGACGCAAATGTCATGCGCCGAGTCAACTAGCTAGACCGCCCTCGTTTGCGCGCAGTGTCGCCACTCAGGTCTCCTGAATCACACCTTCATTTTCAAGTCATACAGGCGCTCGTCCATCTTACTTAACCTCACCACCAATGCAAGATCTCACGTAGTCAGCGGCATGTGTCCTCCACTAACCTTTTTCTCTTCAAGAACACTCATTTGATTGACTTACAGGCAAGGGGGGGGGGAATATGGTATCCTGCCCGTTGGTCTCCGAGTGGCTGGGTCTGTCAATGGTTTTCTTCGCCCTCTTCTCCCAATGGCTGCTGTGACGTTATGCATTTTAATTTTTCACAGGATTAGTGGTATGACCCACTCATGCCGGTGCTTCCCCACTCCCAACTCGGAAAAATTTATTCTCCAGTGCATCATATGCTTCATTGTATTTCTTGGAGCCCTGGCAGAAGCTCTCCCCTTCTGCTAGAGGGTCACAGCAAACAACTGCACTTGTTCAGCAGTGTTTGGACTCGAGTACAGCTGAGACCTATTTTCAGGAACCAGCTGACCCTCACAAATATATACCCGAAATCCCTGAGATCGGGTAGGCGTGGCTGCGTACTTGATTTTAAAATGGCGGCGGCCCAGGTTTTCGTGAGATATTTCATTTTGGAGCAGTCGTAATCATGTCTACATCTAACACAGAACAAGATAGCAGTTGTTTCAAATTGAAGTATCCCACGAGTAACCCGTCCTATGCCATGCTCAAAAGCCACGCCTACTCCGTCTCAGGGATAAGGAGTGTACCTGCTATCAGCACAATCGGTCGAGCGGTGTCAGGAAGGTTGGAAAGAGTCCTCTCTAGGCTGCGTTTCGTACCAATAGTGATCGGTTAGTAATCTATTCGGAAAGAGAACAACCAGAAGTAGCAGAAGTGGCGGGTCGGCTGATTCCATATCTCTTCACACCCCCCCCCCTACCCCCTTGATTA